ACAATAAAAAAAATGCTGGCAAATTGTGCTCTTGAAAAAAAATCCTGCCAAAATCAGTTTTTGCTGTTCAATAAACGACTATAAGTGATCTTAGGGTCAAGACGAAGAGATGGTATTTTTAGGGATTGTAGTCGAAAGTTCAAGCCTAAATTTAAGCTTAAGTGGAAGGTTCTATCACCTTTTGTTTAATTCCGGCAGGGATTCAAACTTCGCCAAAAGTCAAATTTTACTGCTCAATAAATGACTATAAGTGACCATAAATTCAATGTGCAGGAATGGTATTTTCAAGGATAGTAGTCGAGGGTTCTTGCTTTAATCTAAGCCTAAGTGGAAGGTTCTATCACCTTTTTACTCTTTGTTAGAGCTTCTCAAATATTGCAAAAGCCCGATTTTTTGACACTTTGACCTCGATTTTCTCAAAACCTGTACGTGTTGGATCCTTTGTACTTACGGATTCGTAGTCAGCACAAAAAAGTCTATCAAAAATAGCTTTAACATTTGTCGCACCAACATTTTTTTTTAATTTTTGTTGGCCTGTTTTATAATTGTTTTTTTTTTTTATAACTTTGGCAAGTTTTCAGATAGAACGTTAATACTAGAAGCAGTGGACTTTAGCATCACATACAACAGTGTGCCACCAAATTAAAAAAAAAAATGGCGGCATGCAGAATATCCTTTGCAGTTATTTTGTCGTTTTTTGCAATTTTAAGATTTTTTAATTGTAATAATTTTGGGTACTTGAAAATTCAGTGTAAAAAAATCAGTGCTCCACAAAATGAAAAAACTCACACTTAGGTAAAGATGACGATGATTTCAGAAACAACAAATATTTTTCTACAATTTTTATTCGCACACTCGAAATTCATTGTAAAACTGTTATATACAAGAAGAAAGTAATGTATATGTGGATAAAGAATATTGCGTAAAAATCTTCCACGCCAAACTATATGGCTTTCAAGTTGAGACATGCGAATAAACGTGGTAGCTGACTTTGTATAAAGCTACGAGGGTATACGTTAGATATACTACTATGAGTTTATGAGCATGAGTGGTTATTTTTACTTTCTTTAGTATATATATTTTAAGTTTTCATTTTAATATAATTTCGCGATGGAATCTGGTGCTTTACGCAAAACGGAACATAATGCATTGCCTAAGATAAGTGTGCAACATTTTCGACACAAAACACATTTTTTTCGAGAAATCGCTTTTTGAAGTACTAAAAATGCACGTAGACAGTGGGAGTGGGTTTCAAAAAAAAAAAGATTACAAGACTTTGGAAAAAAAATACGGAAATAGTTTTATTGAAAACAGTTGTTTTAAAAATACAGAGAGTAGAAATTTTTTTTGAAATATGTTGGAACTTTTTTTTTTTAATTTAGTTAAAAAAAATATGACAATAATTTTATGGCAAGCACTTGTATAAAGATACACATCTTTTAATTAACTGTCTATTCATTTTGAATACTTTCGGTGTAGAAAAAAGTTTTTTAAATATTTTGAAGTTTTTTGAAAAATCTTTGTTTAAAAAAAACTTATGGAAATAGTTTTATTGGAACCATTTGTTCTTAAAAAAAAAATTTTTTAATAAACTATCTAACGATACATCGGGTTTAGGTAAGTAGTAGAAGAAAAAATAAATTTTTAACTTTTGAATTTTTTATCTTATTATTTTGAAGTTTTTTCTTGGACACTACAAGAAATTTTTCTAAACCAACCATATAATTTGGGTGTTTAAAAAACTTAAAAAAAGCAAAAGACAACTAAAGTTGTAAGAACTCCAGGAGGAATATTTTTTTGTAAAATTTTGGTAAAAGATCTCGTAGAAATGCGTATTTACATATTGCAATATTGTCATGTATTGTAAATATGTACGTAAAAAATGATTAGAAGTATACGGAGATACGTTTTTCAACTTTTAATTTTTTACATATGTACCTATATATGTGTGTATGTTGGCAGATGCGATTCAACAACAAAGTTATGTAATCAAAACAAAAACATTTATTCATGGAATTGATTACGTTATCACGATTGCATAAATACATACTTATTATGTACATTTTAATAAATCAGCACTGTTAATGCGAGCTCACGGTTGGTCCACTCATCCCCAATGATGCTGTGCGCTCGAAAGTGTACTATTAATTTTGTTAGCGTATCATTGCATTGACCTCGTTGAACTGCCAGGCTTTGTGGTCGCTGCATTCACAATTCTAAAAAAAAAATGACACTGTTGGCTGATGGCACATCGTTGGTAGAAAATTACTATTTGACTTTTTGCTTCGACTTGTGTTTCAATGTTTGACCTTTTTATTTTGCATATTCTCATTTTGTTT